GGCGGTGGAGGTCCAGAGGCAGCCGGTGTGGGTGACTGCTTGGGCGAGAAGGAATTAGGGTTCGGATAACTGTAATTGGAGATTTTGACTTCTGATGAAGAGTGATAAGAAATGAGAAGAGAGAGGAGGGAGAGAGAATGTTAATGGGTTTAATTATTAGTTTTGGGTTTGGATTGTGGGTTTTTTTTGGTTTTGGGTCTCTAGGCTAATAGTTTTAGGTTTTAGGCTTTTAGCATTTTGGAACTCTACTGTAATAGTTTTGGGGATTTAGCATTTGAAATGGGCACGGGTGCAATTCCTAAAGTTTTTTTTTTTTTTTTTTGGGGGGGTGTTGGCGCAGAATGTAAAAGTTTCAGAGGGTAATATGCAAATTAGGAGAAGTGTAGGGGTGTAACTGCACCCCAAAGGGGGTATGTGGATCTGCCCCTATTTACATTTATATATTTTTTTAACTGACTGTTGTCAAGCTTGTTATGTTATTCTGAGACAATATTTCTTTTTTGATGTAGAAATTTCCTTTTTTTTGTTGTTGACAGCCTAGATTTTACCAACCATTGTCATATGCAGGAGCTTATGAGCAGTGTTTTGGCATTTCTGATTTGTTTACATATATATCACCTTTTATAGCCGACTATTGTCAAGCTTGTTTTGTTAATCCGAATCAATATTTCTTTTTTGATGTAGAATATTGTCCTTTTTTTGTTGATAGTGTGCATTTTACTGACCATTGTTATATGCAGGAGTTGAAGTTTCCCTAGACGAAATTCATTCTTCGGTTACTGCTGTTCTCAAAGAGAATATGGATGCCATTCTAGATCTGCGCTACCATTTCAATGGTCAGCATTTGGTCTTGCATTTTCGTGTAATAGTTTAATTGAACTAACAATTGCTTACCAGGTTGTTTAAAATTTTGTATGCATGTTGTTTGGATGATATTTATTGCATCCATGAGCCTTTTGGAGTTCTTCAAGAAGTGCATTAAAGCTAGCTTATTGTTTCTATCGAGAAGTAGAATCTACCTTTTTTCCAGCTGCTGCTTTTTCCAACATTAAATCACACCTAGCCTTGTGGAGTACTTTTATTAATCCTTTTTTAATCATTTGAATGTTAGAAAATTTGCAGATTCCTTTATTCTATCATAGTTTTTTAATTGAAATTTGTCTTTGTAGTAATGCAAGCTAAATTTTTCGTTCAGTCCTTGCCATATTTTTACTAATCAGTTTTGGACTTCTTCTATCTTGTAGTAGAATTTGCTGTTTTTCAGCTATCTTTTTTCCCCACATTTCCATTTTCTTTGCCTTGTTCTTCACTTTCCATGTTTTTGTTCAAATTTTTTTTGTATGACTTCCATATGATTTCTGCTCATTTTCACACTTTGATTTCAGTTGGCAACTTATGCGGACAAGTAAGGAAGCAACATCCCTGGGCTGATGCTAAAATCGTGAAGGTGATTATATTTCATTTGATGCACAAAATGGTCAAGAGATATGGTATATACTGCTTCCGTGACTCTTTTTCATATTGCAACAGGAAGTAATTGATGAAAGGCTTCGAAGTATACTTGGCGAGAGGACTGCAGAAGATGATAAAAAGCCTTTGAAAAAGAAGAAAGAGAAACCTGTAAAAGTTGAGGTGAGACATGCCAGTGGGTACCATTTAACTCTAATTATTAATTTATTACTTTTTAACCCTAATTTTTAATTTATGATTTATGATTAATCTGTTTAAATTTTTCTATACTCCCAGGAAAAGAAAGTCTCTACAGCAGCTTCGACAACGCCTCCTGAAGAGGAGTTAAATCCTTTCTCTATATTTCCTCAGCCTGAGGAAAACTCAAAGGTACTTTTAGAGGGGGGGAACGAGGGAATTCCTGTGGGTAACATGTTCTTTGATTCATGACTTGTCAATAGTAATGTGGAAGGGATGGGGTTTTAGAAAGAAACAGTCAACGTGCGATCTCAATTAAAATAATTATCTTCTGTGGATAATCTCTCTATTGTACCACTCATTCATCAAACAAAGCTGAGATTACACCATTGCACTTTTTGAACATAATGTCCAACTACTGAATAGAACCAGTCAAAAATCAAATTGAGCACTTTAAAAAAAGCTACAAATAGAGATAGTGACCACTCTAAACAAGTTTTTTAACTCCTGGAAAATACTGACAAGAAGGATAAAACAATACCGATTAATTCAAAACTCTGTCTAAGGTAACACTAGTCATGTCTCAAAAATTATGCAGCAGCTGAACAATCAACATCCACTTTCTGCTAATGCAACGAAGGTTGTTCTCACTCTGTGTTATTTAACAAGACGTCCTATAACGTCCTGTTTCAAGTAGCTAGCCTACGATCTATTTTTAATCAAATTTCATGAGTATACTAGGCATACAACTTGCCGTGAAATTTTGGCTGAGTTCCACTTTGATTAGAAAGCGGTAGGTGCCAGACCAAGCGCCTGGTCTAGGCGCTGAGGTGGGTGCTAAAGATGGACTATTTTTGAAGATACCAAATCCTATCCTCGCTGCTTGCCTAAGATGCACTTGGATTTAGAGTTTTGATCCAAACTGTTTTGACTTGGCCCATTCTCTTCATCCATAACTATGCCTAAGTGAGCAGGATACCACTTTTTGATGCAGTGCAGTCCGCATAAGCGGCCTATGCTCTGCTAGACGCACTCAAGACCTAGGCAGGAGACCTAAGTACCAAACGCCCAAACCGCATTTTGAAAACAATGCTGATCTATATCATAGGATGTTGTTGGGACAGACTGCACGCACGTGCGTGCCTTTTAATGCTTAACTTGAATGGAATAACCTGGCAGCCTAGCATTGAAGAAAGAAATATGTTCATTGTCTATGGAACACCTTATCCATAGACACCAGGGCTTTGCAAATGTTCATTGTCTATGGAACACCTTATCCATAGACACCAGGGCTTTGCAAGCAGACATTTAATCAATGTTTGGCTAGAAGGTACCCACTTTGCCTGATCACTATTAGATTTTTAAAATACTTCTGATTTTCATTATTTTATCTATTTCATAAACAAAACCTTTTTGGTCTATATTCTTCCAACATGAGTCAGCAGTTATTTATTTTCACTGTGGAGTTCACACTTTTATGTAACGTACTGTTTTTCTCTCTTCATTTGTTAACCAATTAATCTCATGCAACCTCCTATCTGCCTAAAAAGAAGTTCCTAAGTTTTACACCTACATCTATCTGTGCTTGCATTAGGTACATACAGAGATATTCTTTAGTGACGGCAGCATATGGCGAGCTCATAACACAAAGGAAAAGTTAGAGAAACATCTTAAGTCAACTGGTGGTAAAGTTTTAACTCGGTTCCCTCCTGAACCAAATGGGTATCTACATATAGGCCATGCCAAGGTTAGGATACACTGCACGGTTAAAAGACTATGTTTCATATGGTCATTATCATGTATTGTTTAGATTTCTTATCTTCATTAGTGATACAGGCCATGTTTATCAATTTTGGTCTTGCAAAGGATAGGGCTGGATCATGTTATTTGAGGTAACAATAGCTAGTGTTTAATTCTGTTCATGACAATTATTTTCATCAATTTGTATTCAAATTCTGCTAGTATTATGCTACACTGTTGTAATGATCATTTTTAACATAAGGGGCTTCACCTTCAAATGTTTTTTTTGCCTTATTAAATTAGCTATCTATTTTGGCTTCCTTTTCACTTTTTCCCTCTAATTTGTAGATTTCTTATGTTTGTGGCTGATTTATTTGTTGTGCGCTGTTCCTTATATCTTCAAATACATACCTATTTAATAGTCAAACTTAATTTCTATTGAAGGCCTTTTCATGCATCATTGGACAATTATCCCATTGCTAATTTTGCCAATGAAACTGATGACTGGTCTTAAATGATATAAATTTTATTTACTAAAAATTTATCTCCTATGGAATAATTCAATATGGTAATATAAGGAAACAAAGAGAAATTATCGCTATACACAACAAACATTATATAGACAAGCTTGTAGAGTTTGTTAGTTGTTACTATTGTGCATAATCTGTTCACATTCCCGTACCATGTGTCTAAATCAAATATCTATTTTGGTTCAAATGTCAAAATATTTCGAGTGAAGCTTCTTACTGCATTTCTGTTATGCTAGGTTTGATGATACTAACCCTGAAGCTGAGAAACAGGAATACATAGAGCATATCCAAGAAATAGTACAGTGGATGGGCTGGCAGCCATTCAAGGTTTACTAGTGATTGTTAATTATTCTATATTGATGCTAGTCGATATCTTGTTCTGTTAGTTATTTTTTTATTCTCTTTCGATAATACTGTCTGATCATTACTCTTCTACTAGGTTACCTATACCAGTGATTATTTTGAAGATCTCTACAATCTTGCAGTTGAACTGATAAGGAAAGGTCGAGCTTATGTTGATCACCAGGTTTGTCATGGATTACAAGCAAGACTATCATGACTATGTGTATACCCCTATGAGTTATTCATGTTTAAAATAAGATAATTAAACTTATCCAGAATTATCATCTAAATGCTGAACTCAAATATTGACATATCTGTCTTATTAAGAGCCCAGAGGAAGTCAAGGAGTTTAGGGAAAAGAAGATGAACAGCCCATGGAGAGATCGACCCGTTGAAGAATCATTACAGCTGTTTGAAGAGATGAAAAGAGGAATGATTGAAGAGGGAAGAGCTACTCTTAGACTGAAACAAGATATGCAAAGTGATAATAAAAATATGTATGACTTGATAGCTTATCGTATAAAGGCAAGTTTAAACTGATAAAGCTTTGATTTATTTAGCTTAGTTCTCCTCTAAACTCTCCTGTTTGAAATTGTATACAGTTCACTCCCCACCCTCATGCTGGTGACAAATGGTGTATATATCCAAGTTATGATTATGCTCATTGCATAGTGGATTCTCTTGAAAACGTCACACATTCGGTTAGTATCTATATGTTAGTTTAACATAGTCTGTATTCATATATGTGATATCTGCAACCAATTCTGTTTATTCTCATATGTGCTATCTTCAACGAGTTCTGAACTCTATTTCACTTGATGCCTTTATCTTCTGGAATAAGGCTGTAATCTTGCAACATATATCTATACTATTATATTAAAACTTAGTGAGTGTACCAAAAAGTTTGAAGGGCATTTACATCCTAATAAAAATGTGAGGGTTATGTAGGTAATTTTCCTGTCCTTTCTTTTTTCCCCCTCTTTTCTTTTTTCTAGAACATTCTAGACTATGATATGAGCTCACTTATTGAATACCTATCTATTTGTGTTGTAAAAGGTATAAATATAAAATGATAATGTTCTTTTCTAAAAACAAAGTATTAGATATGAATGAATATAAATACAACAATTGGAATTTCAATTTGTTTTAATCTAAAAATATTATCCGAAGTTAAAATATAGCTACTTACTTAGATTAATAATTTGATGATAAACTATGAGACATACTCTTGTTATTAACATCATTTAAAGTGCTTTTAGGATGTTATTTTGAAAGTAATCCGCCAAATGACAATGTACCCTATTTTCTTTCTTTACAATCACATAACCGGTCAAATTGACATATATGTTATACACAACTACAAATAAGGTAATATATAAAAAAAAATAAAAAAATCATAAAAATATTTTATAAAACTTGATAAACTTTACTGTAAGTGCCCCTTTTATATAAAATTAGGAATGGTTAAGTTTTCGCATCTGTTGCACGTGCATTTGCATGTGCAATAGTGCTTATAGCATATCTAAATACTTAATATAGCTGTTCATTCTGATCTATGCACTGGAGACTATTGCACTCAATACCTTTTCTATGACAGGAGTGTAATAGATACCATGTGCTTTCACAATTGTCTGTCAGGATGATGACACTAGTCATTATTTTGATTTAAGGTGTTAAGCCCGAAAGAAATCATAAGCTGAAATGATTCTTTGAGTCATCAACTAAATTTTGGACTATTTGTTTTTTGGGCTAAAACATTGAGATTATTCTGTCATTGTCTTTATGCTTACTATATCAACTTTGATAAGGAAAGTGCTGTTATTTCGGCCACAAGAATTAATCTTGCCAATCTCTCAGGCTCTACTTAGTTGTCTTCTTTTCGCTACAGATTCAGCATTGATTCTATGCCCCCACATCATAGTTTTATTATTGACGAATGAATGAACATTTACTTCCCTTCCCATTTTCGTGAAAAGGTTATGGTAGAATAGACCCATACAGAAAAAAAAATCTAACCGATCTTCTCAACTGAAGTTTCACTTGCTAGACGTATGAGTATGACTGCAGTGAAATATTTCGTTGCAGGTCATCAGATAGAGGCTACTTAAGATAATCATCTTGTTGTAAGGAAAGTTCAACTAAAACAGAATACCAATTATGGTGTATCATCCTAATAATTATGGGGAAGTTTTAGAATGTTTCTGTAAAATAAACCTCTAGAGCTCAAGGAGGAGAAGTTTGCGAAAGGAAGATAACGCTAGTGCTCTTCAGCCGCTTTATTTGAAATTGCATGGTAGTATGGTCCTTGAATCTTAACTCCATGAACAATTGAAGTATTATTTTGCTGATTTGAATATATATGAATAGATTCTTCATGAAAGAGTTAATTTGATTTCTTAAGTATGCAAATGTACATCTGTGCACATGTTTCCCTTTCCTTGTTTCTGCTCCTTTTGTTCTACGTGTCAATTATCTTTTGTGTATTTAAACAGAATGTTTGTGTGTTTCATTAACTTGATCATCCTTGCTTTTCCTTGCTTTCTTTTAATAAGTAATTTATCCATGTCTCTTTATGTTGCCTACTATTGTTCGGCGGTTTCTACAGCTTTGCACTCTTGAGTTTGAGATTCGTCGTCCTTCATATTACTGGCTACTGGAAGCTCTAGGACTTTATGAGCCTTATGTTTGGGAGTACTCAAGGTTAAATATTTCAAACACAGTGATGTCTAAACGTAAGGTAGGCTGTATGACTCCTTTAGATAATAAAGTTTTACTGTTAATACTTGTTCTCTTATTTTTCTTATGCGGTTATGTTTTATCTCCTCAGTTAAATAGGCTAGTCACGGAGAAGTGGGTAGATGGCTGGGATGACCCACGCCTAATGACACTAGCTGGGTTAAGGCGTCGTGGTGTGTCTTCAACTTCTATTAATGCTTTCATTCGAGGAATCGGAATTACAAGAAGGTAGGAACTTGTTTCTCCTATTTATTATATGAAAAAGTCAATGAGCATGCTTGTGTACTGATTTAGTGCAAGAAACTGCAGGAGACCTGTACATTGTGGGTTTATCAAGACTTGTATATTGTTTACTATTAGCAACCTCCAACTTTCCTTCAAATAATTTATTTATGGACAAATTTTTAAAGGCACCCCTTTTTCATTTTTATATAGCAAAATCGACCTCTTCATTTTTTAATCTGCAAAACCGACCATTTTCAAAAGCGGTCCCGTGTAGTGCAGCCAAATTGAAATGCACGGGACTGCTAGTCCCGTGCATTTGATTTTTGTTTCTTAACTTTGCTCGCCGACACGAAATCAAGGAGCCCCGTGAGATCTTAGTCAGGGGTGGGGGTGAGGTCAGCGCGCAACGTACGCCATTTTTGCAGATTTTCTTGCTCGATTTGCGGTTATTGCGGGCGAAAGCCATCGCCGAAACCCTGGCCACCCGCCGCGGCAGCAACCCCTGCTTCGAGCCGCACCCGTGGCCATTGATATCCCCCCAACTCCCCCCGCCAAATCCCCTCTCCCACCTTCCTCTCTCCTCATCCTTCCCTTCTCCCCCCTCGAGCTCACAGCCGCCGCTGCCACGCCGCGTCTTCCTCACCGCCCTCCACATGATCTCCTGCCTCTACTCTCCTCTTCCTCGCGCTTCTTTCCGCCTCACACCCCCCTCCAGCCCATCTCTCCCGCAGGCGACAGCTCTCCAAGATCGGAGCCCTCTCTGCATCTTCTGTCTCTCCGTCGTCGCCGGCAACACCTCTCTCCGCTACAACCCCGTCTCTCAACCAGGCCATCGGCGACCACCCCCTTCTTCACGCCGTCTTCGCCTTCGCCCTCACCTGCCGCAGGGAGCCGCCGTTGGTCTACCTCTCCCTCCTCCCAATCGTGCTCGGCATCGCTCCTCGCCTCCAACAACGAGCCTCTCTTCCACCTCTTTGAGTTCCTCGTCTGCTCTGCTCACCGCCGGCCGAGGCCCTGAAGTCCGTCGTCCAGGGGATCATCCTGGCGTCCGAGGCGCAGGAAGCTCAACTCCATGAATCTGGCTGATGTACATGGCGCCCATGCGCGCGGCTATTCTGCTGCCGTTGAGCCTTTAAGTCGAGGGCAATGTCGCTGTTGAGACCTTCGATAGGCGGTCGGTGATCCCGAGGCTCTTGTAGCGTGCGTTGTTCGGCAACGCGACGGTGGCGTACTTTGTGAACCTGAGTAACTTCTTGGTGACGAAGCAAATGGTGAACTGCTGGCAAAGTTAAGAAACAACAATCAAATGCACGGGACTAGCAGTCTCGTGCAATTTCAATTCTTGGCTGAACTACACAGGACCGCTAGTCCCGTGTAGTTCGAGAATGAACTCGGCTGCAAAACCGACCCTTTTCTTTTGAAAAGGGTTTGTTTTGCAGATTAAAAAATGAAGGGGTCGATTTTGCTATATAAAAATGAAAAAGGGTGCTTTTAAAAATTTGTCCTTTATTTATTATTTTTTTTCTCCTTTGGTCTTTTTTCTTTGGTCCATAATTGGACAAAAGGAGCAGTGGTGTTTGTGTATTTACAGGAAATTCTGGCAGTGGTTTCATGTAGTAGTTGTTATCTTCTGCATGGCAGTCAATCAATCTCATTAAGGAATGAAAATAGCTTAAGTTTTAGTTAGGCTTTTACCATGTTAAGAGTTTTTTAGTTCTTTACTTTTTCCCCCTCCTGTCTGCAGAATATACTAGGATTAGTTTTCATCCATCTTTCAATTAGTTTGGCTTATGATTGGCTGATTGTTGTCTACATATAAGAAAATACAGAGTACAAATTACAAGTCAATTCCTGTCTAACATACTGTTGGAATTTTGATGCCTCTTGGTAGTCGTATTAGAAGCTGTTTTGACTTCTTATCCTATTTTGACTTCCAGAATCATACAAAAAGTTGTATACTTATACAACTAATATATAAGTATAAATAGTAGTTCCCTTAGATCTTTCCCCCCTACTATAAGATGAGACGTAAGATTGAAGTAAGTTATTCTTCTATTGGATTGGAACCCTAGACTGTTCTTTAATTTAACCATTGATGCTCTGATACCACAGTGGTAATCATTTTTATCCCAAAACTCAAGTTGTTAGATGGAAACCCATATATATTATTTAAAGCCAAAACTCCCAACAAGTTGCGGATGATTTTTTCTGGATTAAGATACTTTATTATCTTAAGTAGTGATCACTTCTAATTTCTCCTTTCCGTGCAGTGATAATAGCCTGATACAGGTAAATCGCCTTGAATATCACATAAGGGAAGAGCTTAACAAAACTGCTTCTCGAACTATGGTTGTGTTAAATCCTCTTAAGGTACACCAGGTTTTTTCTTCTATGGTTATGTGTAATCTTTTTTCCAAAAAATTATCTTAACCATATTATCAACTTCCAGGTTGTAATTACAAATCTTAATTGTGGATCAACAATGTATCTTGATGCAAAGATGTGGCCCGATGCTCCAGCAGATGACCCATCATCATTCTACAAGGTACCAAGCATTAGTGTGTTCATCCTTTCATTTCTCATCAATAAAATATCATGCACTACTCTTTCTGAGTTGCTTGAAAACACAAGTAGTCAACTATTGTTCAACAATCTTACTACGACCGTACCTGAGATTTAACGCATCATGTGATTTCCATAAAACATGCTATTTTTGTGTAATGCTGAAAGTATAAGATAGAAAAGTCACTATTGCTAGTTTTTTATTTTCTTATTTTTTTTCTTGATAGCAATAATGCTTTATAACAATATGATGTTAGTTAATCAGTTAATCTGAAGGGTTAGTTAATTTGAAGGTAGGGGTTAGTCTTTATTGATTATTCCTTAATGAATTTAGCCGGAAAAAAGTTTATGTGGTGGACCTCTACCCTCAAGTTGGAGCTAGTGTAAAATTCCCTAATTTATGATGTTGCATTTTTGCAGTTTATTAAGTTTGTTGCCTTTCAACATTCAATGTAGTGATGACGAGAGAGCTGCTTATATCCTGCAACATAATTGTTCCTTTATATACTATAACATGTCACTTTCCATCAAGTAATGTATTTCATAGTGAAAAAAAAGAACAATTTAGTATGCTATTAAATGAATACTTTAATCATACACTTCTTTTACCTCTGCAGGTTCCTTTCACAAATGTCGTGTACATTGAACGTACAGATTTTCGTCTCAAGGATTCAAAAGATTACTATGGTCTTGCCCCGGGTAAATCTGTACTGCTCAGGTATGTGATCATTTCAATATTCCTTGCGCTAGAACTAAACATCGTATATTGTTCATTGTCCATATTTTCCCTTGTAACTGTGCAGATACGCTTATCCGATAACATGCACAGAAGTTATATATGGTAATGACAAGGAGACTGTAGTTGAGATAAGGGCAGAGTATGATTCTTCAAAGAAATCTAAGCCCAAGGTTCTGATTCAAAAATACATCATAAAGAAGTTGGAATCTGATTACTTATTTATTTATCAATTTCTTGGTAATTGTGACAATTACAGGGTGTGCTTCATTGGGTTGCTCAACCTTCACCTGGGGTTGATCCTCTGAAGGTGGAAGTAAGATTGTTTGAGAACTTATTCCTTTCTGAGGTGTGTAACCGTGCTATTTTATTTTATTTTATTTTATTGAGTATTATATTACATTTTTGTTGGTCTTCTTTAATTGTTCTTTGACAATAGAATCCTGCTGAGCTAGAAGACTGGCTTGCTGATCTTAATCCGAGATCGAAGGAGGTGATATCAGAAGCATATGCTGTGCCTTCTCTTGGTAGTGCTACTACTGGCGACAGATTTCAGTTTGAGAGACTTGGTAAATCTTAAATGGTTCTCTTAAAATTTTCTTTATAATGAAGAAAATACTCGAGTTTTATAGCTTCTATGGAATATTTTGAGTGATGTTACTTGGAAGCTCACTGTAATGAAGCACGAGCCCTTTAGTTTTAACATTGGGTTAACTGCATATAGACTTGCTGTAGTGTTGTGCTTTGGACCTTGTGCCCCTGTAGTTTTACCTTGGCATATAGGCCCCCTGGTCGACTTTTAGTTACTCTTTTATCCTTGGTGAAATTTTGGCTGGGTGAAGGACTAAAATAAAATTTAATCCTAGGGGTCTCTGCCAAAATCCAACCATAGGAGTAATAAGTTCCAAAGTGTGACACTACATAGGGTCTACCTGCGAGTAACTCTTCTATATTTTCTGCATATTTTTTTCGATTGAGCTGCAGCGACTTAACCTATTGACCCCCTTTATGTTTCAGGGTATTTTGCTGTTGATCCAGATTCTACCCCCGAGAAACTCGTCTTCAATAGAACCGTTACTCTCCGCGACTCCTATTCCAAGGGTGGAAACAAATAAGATGCAGATTCTTATATAAGCCGGTGCGGTTCTGATATAACCATTTGCAACCATAGCTTAAGCAAATATGTTACGTTTATCATGGGATACTAGTGACTTCACAGAAGTGATGATTTTGCAGAAAGAAAGTCTGTATCTCTCTTTTCTATCGGGGGCTGAGTTTGCTGAGTCGTATTGTCTTCTCGATAAAATTGTCTCTTATTATTGCACCTTATTGTTTTAAGAAATGAGCGTATCCTTATAACTGATTCAGAGTATGGCGATGATGTATACGTGTTTTCTTCTGGTATAATGGCTTAAAATATACTACACAACCTTTGATCATGGCCATAGTTCAAGTATGTTGTTCTTGTCCTGGTCAACTATGTTGACCACACCCTCGCTCTGAACGCTAAAATCTGTTGTACGTTAAGTATGCAACTGTTAAATGATAATCTAATTGTTTCATTTCGTCGGTCTTCTCGGAACGTTCAAAGACCTTTCTGATAGAACACTCGTAAGAAGGGCGCGTGCAATGCACGTGCCGAGCAAACTATGTAGATCTAGATGAGCAAAGCATGTACTCGTAGAATTGATTTTGATGATCTAGAGGATACTTTTAGCTTGTTGGTGTAGCATAGATTTTGTTACCTCAGAACATTAAGATGGGGAAAGAGCTCATAGAATCACAAAGTTTATGTATATTTCGTTAAGCACACGCTGTCACAAATTCTTGTGGTTTGCTTTGCTTAATAAGCAACATAGGTTCTCTTTCTATCTAAATTTTGTCTATTATATAATTGATGGATTCTTACATTTTTATCTTTATATATATATATATATATATATATATATATATATATATAGAGAGAGAGAGAGAGTCAAACTTGCTAATAACCAACGAATAATATATAATAATAAAAAATCTTTACATATCATACAAGCGATCCCTAGGCACTATGACGTGGCTAAAAAATTTGATGGATCCAACTTTTTGGGCTATTACTTAAGTTGAGATATATAATCTCTCTCTCTCTGCTCTATATATAATATAATATACTCTCTCTCTCTTCTCTCTCTCTCTATATATATATATATATTAATAAAAGAGAAGAAGAGAAGAGAAGGAGGGGGGGAGGAGAGAAGAGAGAGAGGAGAAGGGAGATATTTAATAGATATATAACAATAATAGATAAAGGAGAGAAGGATTGTTCTAGGAGGATTTTTTTTTCGCACTCAAATTTATAAAAAGAATGTCATACTTAATTTGTCATCATTATCTCATTTTCCCCACTTTATCTCACTCAATTATCCCATTGGGTAAAATTATCTTCATTGGAACAAGTTTAACCAATTTGCCCCAATTTACATCAGATGAAGAACCCCCCCCCCCCACCCCACCTCCCTAGAGATGTCTTTTCTTGTGACCCCATGACCTTAAAGTTTGGTGTCCAGTTCTTCACCAATAGGCTCAATAACACAATTTTCTTTTGCCTAAAAAATTAGCATCCATTGTTGGTACCAGCAAAATTGACCCGCGCAATGACACATCAATAGCATGAAAATAAGCTATAAAGAGGAATAAGGAAAAGCTTCACAATTGCATTACAGTACTTAACCTGAGTTAATAGTTTGACATAGAGATCCAATGTATTAGAGTACTCTTCAAAGTATTAATTTGATTCTAAGAAAAAAATGATAACACTTACGAATATTCATTTGAAAGTACATGAATGCTTAAAACTAATTTTATTTATTAACTAAATTCATTTGATTATACATGACAATGTGGAAACAAATTACGATGTGCATTTATTGGATCTAAACACGTCATTGGGATATATCTAGATAAGAGAAAACAATTAATAACTAAACGATTGAAGCTTCACTTACCTTGTTTGGGATGAGGTCTCATTGGTATTCCCTTTCCAAATATGATCACATATATCATAATCTTAAAATGTTCCGTCTTTGTAGCGTAGACAATATCACATAAAAATTTAGAAATAATAAGCATTAAAAAAACGAAAATAATAAACATCAAACCAAACTCACATCCACTGTATCAAACTTGCTTCCTTCCTCTTTAGATCTCCTCGCCTTTGCCATGTGGACATAATTTAGAAAAAAAATTAAACTAAATTTTGGTTATAGAACTGATGGTAAATTACAAGGAAAATTCACAAATATATTCAATTTGGGAAGTATACATAGAAAGATAAAAAAATAAATCATTTCAATGCTATCCAAAGTTTCAACTAAATAAATAATCCCACAAATTAACTTACCCAAACATTAACCCCTCCAAGTTTATCAACAACCCACTTCACAAAATCTTACAATGCCCCCCACAATCCTCTATATGGAGCCAATGTCAATTCGCATTACTCATCCCCTCTCCTCTAATCTCCTCCACCGCTCCTCGACATCGACTAAGTTTGTTAATTTCCCCCATTTTAATCAAGGAGGGTTTGGGATGCTATGGAGAGGTGATGACCTGTGAATTCAAAATAGGGTTTTTGAATGAAAATATTAGGATGAGAATATAGGTTTCTAGATAACTATAGATTTACGCTTGTGGTTAGAATTTTTTTAATTATGTTTGTTTTGGATGTGCACCTTAGATATAAACAACGCCCATCTACAGTTGATTGACAATATCAGGGGAGAAGAGAGGTTTCTAGAGAACTATAGGATTATTCTTCTGGTCGGATTTTTTTTTTTTTAAGTGCGTTTGGTTTAAAGATTCTCCGCCACTGCCACCAGGTGCTGACGCAAACGCAAAGTTTGCGCGTATGTGTTAGTGGGACTCCGGGCTTATATAATTTGCCTAAAAATAACGAAGAAAGGTTTTGGACTTTTGTGTGCGGGAACTACTTAGATAAAAGACGCAAAGAAGAGAATAAAGAAGGGAAAATTAAGACGCAAAAGAGATTGCCTAGGGCCCGCACACCGCCCTTGTCCCTTCCCGCACACCAGCACACGACAAAAAAGATTGCCTAGGGCCCGTACTTTGGTTTGTATATACAAGACGCACATGTTAATTAGTCAAAGGATGACTCACCCAAAAAAAAAAATTAGTCAGAAAAGAAAACCATTAATAAAACAAAGAAATTATGGGTTGCAAGTACCCATAATTTAAGGGGTATCTATGCAAATATTGAGATCACTTGATAGACCTCATCCCGTGGTTACGGTGAACTCCCCCGCTCTCATGAAGGAGGCTACAAAGAGCCTTCACTCGCTGGTAGGGGTGTGCACGGTTCGGTCCAAACCAAAAAAAATTGACCGAACCGATCAAAAATTAGCGGTTCGGCTCGGTTTTAGTTCTAAGTTGGTTTGGGCCGGGTTGAAAAAATTTCAACCCGAACCGACTGCCCGTAACCCATACTCATTTTTTATTACCCAACACGTTCTTCACTTACTATAAAATCCCAAGTCTCCAACAGTCCTACCTAAACCTAACTTTTCAACTCTTCTCCAACCTCAAATTCCGAGTTCGGACTTTGAATCACGCAATTCCGAGTTCGGACGGCGAAGATACGGCGGAAATGAGCGGAACGCACGAGATAATGTTTCGGGCCCCAGCAAGACACCAAAAGGTGTCTCAGCCAAAGCGTGGCCGAGACACCAAGAGGTGTCTCGGCCAAAGCTTGCCGAGACACCAACTGGTGTCTCGGCCAAGTCTTGGCCGAGACACCCAAGAGTGTCCGCAGCCCTGAAAACGGGATTTTGATAGTTTGAAGCTGTTTTTCGGTGTTAACCGCCTGGATTTGTTCCAACTGATAAAGTATCATCCAAGAACGTGATAAAGTGGTTATGATTGAGGATAAGATCAAATCGGTCGTTCTTATCCGAAAACGGAGGGTCCAAAGCCTATAAATACAGCCCCATGGCCTTCATTTTTTCTGATCTAGAATTCTCTTGCCTCGGCGAAGCCCCGCTGAACTGAAGACTGAAGGAGCACGAATTTCAGAGAGGAGGAGGAGATTGATCGAGTTCTTCAAGCGTAAAGAAGGAGAGTTCGACAGATCCACAGTTCTCGGTTCCCTTCCTTGAGATTGCCCCGTTGTGGTGATCTCGAGAAGAGTGATTATCTCGCTGTTGCCGAGATAATTGCTTCAGTTTCTTGATTCCTTCGCGAATCAACGAAACTCCGGACAGATCTGATCGCTTGGTGGTCCATGGACTAACGCGTCCCCATCACAGGCCAAGATCCCACGCAAATAACAGGAGATAAACAGCTGTTGTGCTGTTTAAAAGAGAATTGTAATTTATCTTATTTTTATTATGTAAGAGTCTTATAAAAGACTATCTTTTTTTATTTTCATTATAACGACTGAAGTTGTAATGAACACCGCAATGAAGAAATTAATTTTCTACCCAAACAAGCGCAGTAAAACTCCATCATGTGATTTACGATACAAGGTTTGAGAAACTGCATCATAATAGAATCGGAGGGCCTTTCGTTTGATGGCGGCCGCTTCCTTGGAATTGTCGGGTAAAATTCCATATAAGACATAGTCGATGTACGAAAATCTCCAATCCCGTGGCTCAAGCTCCATTGTGGTTGCGCAAGC